GAATCACAGTAGCTGAATCATAGCAGCACTGAAAATACCATCCTGGTGTACAGCTTGGAGAATGGAGTGGAGGAGAAAGCAGTTAACGGGATCTTAGTTTGGGTGGGACATGGTTTGACTTGGTCCTGTCCTGGGGCTGTGAATAACGGGTGATTGTTAAGCAACGTCTGTTTCCCAGCAGTCTGGGGACTGGGCTTCTGGACAGAGTGCCAGCACTGTCCAGCTTGCTCAGACTCTGGTGAGGCTCCCCTTGTACTGTTGCAGGAAGAAAGAGGGAGGGTATTGGTGAAATTATTAAGGCCTTGTTGGAGGAAGTGTGTCACCGTGGGGGCGGGATTTGAGGTCTCTTGGTCAAGCTTCCCTCAGTGTGACAGTCAGTTGACTTCCTGTTGCCTGCGAGATGTAGTAGGACTCTCAGCTCCAGCGCTGTGTCTGTCTGCACCCTGCCATGCTCCCCTCGTGATCATAATGGACTGAGCCTCTGAAACTGTGAGCAAGCCACCCTCAATTCACTGTTTCCTTTATAAGAGTTGGCGTGGTCATGGTGTCTCTTTACAGCAATAAAAAAAAGCCTAACTAAGAGAGGGATTGAGGCCCAGCCGAGGAAAGGCATGGCTATGGTGGTGAGAGCCTGAGGCTGTTTCCTCACATCTCCAAGGATTTGGAAGCAGAGAAAGGGGAAATCCATGCTCAGCTGGCTTTCTCCTTTCTATTTGGCCCAGGACCCCAGTCTATGTGATGGTGCTGCCCACATTCAGGGTGAGTCCTCTCTCAGTTAATCCCCTTGGAAATGCCTTCAAGGGGATTATAAATCCAGCCAGGAGGGACCATCACACAGCCTTGCTGGAAGCCATCTGCACCCTCGCAGGTGCCTCCCTGTGGCAAGAAGTTGTTCGAATCCTGACATAACTGCTAATTATGACCCACACATGGTGGTTGCTGCTGTTTGGGTATTTTCCAGTGAAGTGTTCCATCTCTTTGACTCCCCAGAATGGCGCAATCAGAGGAAAAAGGGGGTGTCCCCTGTGCCTTCATCCGACAGAATTCCGGCAACTCCATTTCCTTGGACTTTGAGCCTGACACAGAGTACCAATTCGTGGAGCAGCTGGAAGACCGCTACAGATGTGCCTTCTGCCACTCGGTGCTTCACAACCCCCACCAGACGGGCTGTGGGCACCGTTTCTGCCAGCACTGCATCCTGTCTCTGAGGTGAGTCGGCAGGACCTGCAGCTCTGACTGCAGCTGACCAGACAGCTGGAGGTGCTATTCTGGAGTCTGAGCCTGCTGTGGCCATGGGGCTGTAATTGAGGTTAGGGGCGGTTGCCGTGGCTTGGGAGACGCTGTCCCAGCTCCCGGATGAAGTGTAATCCTCTTTGCCTGTGACTCCTTCACATAGTCACCCTGCCTTAAAATTCACACTACACAGTCTATCACCATAGCTGTCTATTGGCGAGGGCTCGTGGGGTCTGTATTGTGGCTGCCCTGGTGATCACATGTTTGAGGTAGCAGGCTGTCGTGGCTTTAAGGGACCTGACTGCCATGGGACTGTCCATGCAGTAACATCACTCCATCAAAAGGTTCAAGGTCATTAGCTCAGGAAGGGTACACTTTGGCTCATAGTTTTGGGGGTGCCAGTTCATGATTGACAGGTCCATTGCTTTGGAACTGTAACAAAGCAGCCACGCCAGGGTGGGATGACATTCTGGAGCCAAACAGTACTCCATCATCCAGGAAGGAAAAGGGAGGAGAGGAAGGGGCCTGGTCCCTCCGTCCCCTTCATGGGCACAGCCTTATGAGGCTCCACCTCTCCAGGGCTCCGCCACACGTTAGGTTCTCTAGGGGAACAGAACCCGTAGAATGAATGTACACTGAAGGGGTTTGCTGGAGTGGTTTTCACGATGCAGTCTGGGCAAGCCAACAGTGTCTGCTTGCATGTGGAAAGGCTGAGACCTGGCAGCTGCTTAGTCCACCAGGCTGGATGCCACAGCAGCCCCCAGACAGGCTCGGAAGGTCTGGGGGACTCTTGGAGAGCCACTGGTCTCCGGTATACATCTGAAGGTTGAAGAAGCTGGGCGCTGAAGCAGGTGAAGGGCAGAGTAGATGCACTAACAGGAGGAAGTGACAGCAGGCAGGCAGCGCAGCTTTTCCCCGGGATGCTTTATATCCGGGCAGGAAGGTGCTGCTGCCCTTTCCAAGAGAAGCACCCCCCTCCCCCGGCCCCAGGGAATCCTTCCTGGAAAGAATCCGCCCAGATGCAGGTCTTAGTTGATTCCAGAGCTAAGGCATCCCACCAGCACCACCCTGGGGACCATGCCTGTATTTAACAGATGGGACTGGGGAGATACTTCACATCAAAATCATAGCAATCTGGGTCATGCCACTTGTGGGAGACCCGGAGAGACATGGAAGCAGGCTTTGGGGGTTTCTATGGATGTGGCTGCCAGGCTTTGAAAGGGGCTGCAAAGCCCATTCTCACTCACTCCACATGTCTGCACTCTCAACACCTCTGCGTTCGGGCTGGTTTGCTTGACTGAGCTCCGGGTCCTGAAGGTGAAGAACCACAGGTGATGTGGGTCTGATGTCTGCTCTCTGGCATGTCCCCATCTCAGGAGGCAGCCTGTAGTACGGCATGTTGGACAGGGGTGGGACCATCCACACCATCGGGGGAACTTGTGTTTGATGGCATGCTGGTGGGTAGGTAGGCATTTTCCAGGAAGGCTGTAAGACTGTGAAGTTTGCTGAAGCTGGCTCAAGGCTGCTGCCTGGGTAGCACACACAGCTTGTGCCGATGCAGAGACTGGGCACTCAGGGCTAATGTGTGGCTGGGTGCCTGGATGCTCTTGGAAGGAATGTTAAGATTAAATGCTTGACTTTAGCCTCATCTTCACTTTCCTCTCCAGAGAACTGAACGCAGTGCCGATCTGCCCCGTAGACAAGGAGGTCATCAAGCCCCAGGAGGTGAGCTAGTCACTGATTTGGCTTGGGTGTTGGAGAAAGCGCCAACATTCAGAGTTGACATCCAGGACAGTGTCTGGGGCCCGCAGTCCTCTCCTGCGGGTCAGATCAGACCCTTCTCCTGTCTGATTGGAGCATGTGTGGGTTTTACCGACCACACCGCACCCAGGTCTCACCACTTACCTACACTAGCTCCAGACACATCAAGCTCCTGGGAAAGGTAGAACACCCATTTCTTGGGGTTCACCTTCCCCTCTGGCTAATCCCTAAGACATATTCTTCTGTTTAGTAACAACTTTATTGCTATGGTTCATAAAGTTTCCCTTTCAAATGTCTGGTTCTATGGGGCTGTTTTCAGAATCATGTGGCCATTGTGATGTGTAGTGACACCCAAGAAGAAATCCCTTGCCCATTGGCTCTCACCTTCTCACACCTCTGTAGCCCAGGAAAACCACAGTCTAGTTTCTGCCTTGATTTAGCTGCAATGTTGGATGTTTCACATAAATGGAATCATGCCTTTTTCCTCCACTCAACAGGTTTTCAAGGTTCATCCACGGGGTTGACTGTGTTAGTACTCTAACTCTTTTTTTATTGCTGTATACTATTCTGTTGTATAGATATACCACATTTGGTTTCTCAATCAGCAGTTAGTAGACATTTGTGTTGTGTCTACTTTTTAGACTACTATGAATAATGCTGTTGTGAATACTCACATACAAAGCTTAAATTTTTGAAATATGGGGCTGGGGAGATGGGTGGCTCAATGGTTAGAGCGCTGGCTGCTCTTCCAGAGCAGTGAGCTCAGTCCCAGCATCCACATGGTGGCTCACAACCAACTGTAACTTCAGTCCCAGGGAATCCAATGCCCTCTTCTGGCCTCCACAGGCACTGCATGCACATAGTACACAGACATACATGCAGGCATGCACACACACACACACACACACACACACACACACACACACGTAGATATATCTACCCCAGCACTCCAAGAAAAGTTGGTATCTCATATTAGGAGCTGAGGGTGTGGTTTATGTGGGTCTTTATTCATCAAGCTGGGGCTCAATTCCCAGCCCTGGGAAAGATATAGTTCCTATAGATGATTATATCCATGACCCTAAAGTCTACTTTAAGAAGCTAACATTGCTCTTACGTGCTGGCTTCAGAACGTATGCAACCCAGATGATCAGTTCTACATGTACCTGAGGGTGGAACTCCCGAGTAATGTGGCAACGCTGGGTTTAACGTTTCTTTTTTATAATTAAATGATTTTGGGGGGAGGTTTTTTCTTTTCTTTTCTTTTTTGGTTTTTTGAGACAGAGTTTCTCTGTGTAGCCCTGACTGTCCTGGAACTCACTGTGTAGACAAGGTTGGCCTTGAACTCAGTAATCTGGCTGCCTCTGCCTCCTGAGTGTTGGGATTAAAGGCATGCACCACCACTGCCCACCTGGGTTAACATTTCAGCAACTGCTAGTCAGTTTTGTAAAACAGTGGCCCCTTTTGTACCGTCCTACCACAGCGCATGCTGGTTCTAGGTAGCAAATCCTCATCCAAATGAGTTCTCAGCCTTTCTGATGCACCTTCCTAAGGATGTGAAGCCTGATTTATCCGGGTCTGAGTCACTTTTGTAGATGGCTGGTGACACTGTCAGCTTAGCTGCCCCACTGTGTGTCTCCGTGTCTCCTCTGTTGGAATGCCTCGTAAGATTCTGTCTGTCTGTCTGACTCTGTGGTGTGTGTCTGTCTCTCTCTCTGTCTCTCTGTCTGTCTGTCTGTCTCTCTCTGTCTCTCTCTCTCTCTCTGTGTGTGTCTCTGTGTGTGTGTGTGTGTGTGTGTGTATGTGCTTGTCTGTCTGTCTGTCTGTCTGATGTCAGTGCAGTACCCATTGAAGCAAGAAGAAGGCATCAGATCCCCTGAAGCTGGAGTTAAAGGTGGTTGTGAGCTGCCAGATGTCAGTGCTGGAACTGAACTTGGTTCCTCTGCAAGATCAACACGTGTTCTTAACCACTGAGCCACTCTCCAGCCCCACCTTTGCCCATTTTAACTGGATTTTTGTCTCTAATTGCTGAATTATTACAAGTCCTTTGTTATATTCTAGACACTAGGTTTTTTATTATCAGATTTGCCAATATTTTCTCTTATTACATGATTTATTCTCATTTTGTGGGTGGTGTCTTTTGAAGCAGATAGTTTTCAATTTGCTGAAATTTAGTTTATCTGTTTTTCTTTATTTGTGGGTTTTACTGTTGTCTTAGTTTCTTCTCCATTGCTGTGATAAACGTCATAATCAAAACCAACTTGAGGAACATGTTTACTTCACCTCACACTTCCAGGCTACAAACCGTCACCTAGAGAAGTCGGGGCAGGAGCTCAAGGCAGGAGCTCAAGGCGGGAGCTGAGCAGAGGCCAGAGAGCAGGGCTGCTTTCTGACTGGCTCCCCTGGCTTGCTTAGACCGCTTTCCTGTACAGCTCAGAGTCACTGCCCAGGGCTGACAGCCCACAGTGAGCTGGGCCCCCCCACATCAATTATCAGTCAGGAAAATGACCCCCACACTTGCCTACAGACAAATCTGATGGAGGCAGCTCTTTAGTTGAGGCTCCTTCTTCTAGATGACCCTAGTTCATGTCAAGTTGACAGAAAAAACCCTAACCAGCCCAACTGACCCCTTGTCAGCTTGACGCACAGATACATCACTATTAAACCATAACAGTTCCCTTCTTTTTTGTCCCCAAGATTATGTTAATACTAATATCAAACAGATTAAAACTTTACAAGTCCCACCATCTTTAAAACACTCAAACACTTAACAAGTTCAACATCTCTTTAAAAATACCCAGTCTCTTAACTGTGAGCACCTCCCCAGACAGTGGTGGCACACACCTTTAATCCTAGCACTTGGGAGGCAGAGGCAGGCCAATCTCTGAGTTCAAGGCCAGCCTGGCCTACAGAGTAAGGGCTACACAGAGAAACCCTGTCTTGAAAGAAAAAACAAAACAAAAACAAATAAAACCTGTGGGCTCCTGTTTAAAAAAACAAAAAAAAAAAACAACAACAAAAAAACAAAACAAAACAAAACAAACACTTAAATATTTCTTATTCCAAGAGGGAAGAACCAGGAAACAGTTATAGTTGGATCAAAGCATAACCAAATTTCAACAGTAAAAAAGTTCTGGGACTCACTATGTTCTGGATGGCTTGGGCAGGCACCCTTCTTTGGCTCTGCTAGCCCCAACATGCAGCTTGTCCAATAGGCTCAGGAACCTGCCATTGTCTTTGGTAGTCTTCCCAGGGCCCTGACATCTCCAATGTGCTGGCGTCTCCCCTGCACCGAGGCTGCACATTTGACAATGGCCTCCTGGCCTCTCTCCAAGGGCTTCAGTTCTGCCACACTGAGCCAAGCCACAACTGCCCTCAACCCCATCAATTCTGCAGTTCCCAGGCCACAAAAACCACGGACCCGCTTACTGGATGCTTCTGGCTTGCTCAGCTACCTTTCTTAGACAGCCCAGGCCCTGCTGTGTAGGGATAGCACTGCCCACAGTGGGCTGGGCCTTCCCTCATCAACTGGCAGATAAGAGAATGCAGTGACCACAGGCCTTTCTGACCCCAGCAATTCTCCAGTCAAGATCCCTTCTTTCTGGGTGATGCTACTTTGTGTCAAGTAGAGAAAACTACCTGATACAGTTGTTGTTTATTGTTCTTTTGGTTTTGTTTGTTTCTTGTCCTTTTGTTGTACCTAAAAAACCGCTGTCTAACTCAGGGTCATGGAGATTTTTCTCCCTGAAAATGTCTCTTCAGTTCAGTTTTCTTTTTCTCCTTGTGTTTTAGGAGCTCAATCTCTGCCTCCTCCTGAAGCTTTCCCTGAGCGGCCGATCTGACTCACCAGCCCCTTCCCAGTAGTTGCCTTCCAGAGGGCCAAGTGGTTCTCAGTGTGTTTGTCAGGGACAGGCATGCTACAGCCTTGGGCAAGTTCTTCAGTTTTGTCTCTAAACTAAGAGAATGGCTTTCACATTCATAAACATTCATGAAAAAAGAGTCACAAAAAATATGCTATTTTTGCAACCTCTTGTGAGTCTTAAACTACTTTAAAATAATTTATTTTAAAAAGCCAAGGGGGCAGGAGTGACAGCTCAGCTGTTAAGAACACTTTCTGCTCTTGCAGATGACCTGGGTTCAGTTCCCAGTACCCGCAGGGCAGGTCACAACTGTCTGTAACTCCAGTTCCAGGGGCTCTAACACCCTCTTCTGGCCTCTAGAGGTAACCTCATGCACATGGTGCTTGTAAACTCATGCAGGCACATACACTTATACAAATAAATAAGTCATCTAAACATTCAAAATCAAAGAATAATGTTTTGTGTCACATGAAAATGATACACTCTTCGACTTCCCGTGTCCACACGTGTTTTATTGGAGCACAGCTGTGCCTACTTGTGTAGGTCTTTTTGATGTCAGAATTGAGGCAAAGGCAGGTGAATCTGTGAGTTCCAGGCCAGCCTGGTTTACAGAGTGAGTTCAGGGATGGTTGCCTCGTGACCTGCCAAGCTAACAGTATTTACCCTCTGACTCTCTATAGAGGAAGCAAACTAATACACAATTTGTGCTGGAATAACCAACCAGCACCTTCCAGGGGCACCGACACTTACACCCGAGTGGGAAACAACCCTCGACCTTGGCCTGGGCCTCCTCTTGACTTTTTTGACTGTCTGGGGTCAAGCTTACCCTGTGCTTCCCCCAGCTGCAGCCTGCTGGCTTGAGCATTGAGTTGATGTCACTTCCTAGAAGTGTGTGTCTGAGGCAGCCTTTACTTTCAACGTGGTCTTGACATTTCCGTTTCAGTCACTGCCTGGAAGTTTCCAGCCGCTGAGATAGACTTGAAGACCAATCTCTCACCGTGGCTTCCTTTGCACCCCCGCGGTGCACTGGAGGGTGTGTGACTGATCGTGTCCGTATTTTAGGTGTTCAAAGACAACTGCTGCAAAAGAGAGGTCCTCAATTTATACGTCTATTGCAAGAACGCCCCCGGATGCAATGCCAGGGTCATTCTGGGACGATTCCAGGTCAGTATCACTTAGGACCAGTGTTGCCCATGCCATCCCTCTGGTGGCACCCACTTAGCTGTCCTGTGACGGGCCCTGGCTGAGCCACGTAAAGGGTTCTCTGGGTTTCTCTCAGACTGTCCCCAATTGGGCAGTATCATGAGCACCAAGGGCGGAGTGTAACCAAAGGGCTTGTTCTGTAGGAGCATGGAGAAAGCACCATCTGTATGCTAGGCTGTAATTATGGGATCGTTGAGTCAAGAAGAGGGTGCAGGACTTAGCAGGCAAAAAGGACACTCCCAGTACCCCAGCATTCGGGAGGCAGAGGCAGGCAGAACTCTGTGAGTTTGAAACCAGTCTGGTCTACAGAGTGAGTTCCAGGACAGGCAGGGTTACACAGAGAGACTCTGTCTCAAAAAAAAAGGAAAGAAGGAAAAAACCATCCACAGGGGTGCACAATTGTGGGACCCCAGGGTGGGAGGCAGGCTGACTGGCACAGGGCACAGCGGGAGGGCCAGGCCTTCCCTCCAAACCTTTGTCTCTTGGTGCTGGGGACTGTGCGTTCTGGTCTATGTTGTGACCTGTGACAGAGACTGAGCCAGGCCACCCAGGATGTGCTCTGTGAGACTGGTGGAGACGTAACAGGGGTGTCAGGGAAGTGCAGGTGAGGGAGGTGGAGTCCTGTGAGAGACAGCTCATCCCCTGGGCTGAGGAAGGCACAGCCCTATCAGGCTCAATCTCAGGCAAGTGACTCAGCCACCTCTAGCTTCCAGGGAATTGCTTGGCAGCTGCTGAGATTTTCCCCTCACACCCACACTGTTTGGAACATGCACGGCAGATGACTCAGCCCTTCATCAAGCCTCCAGGAAACTCACACACACACACACACACACATACACACACACACACACACACACACACACCCCACCCACCCTGGGCACTGGGATGATAAATGTGTAGATGATTTCCTTGTCACCCTGGGGGAGCTCACAGGACTCCATTGTTTTCTGGGCAGCAGTCTGTTGCCGCTCATTTGAGTGACAGATTCTAGGCGAGGCTTCTTGTCCAGCTGTGTTGTCACCAAGCCAGAAAAACAAATGTGCTTGGAACACCACGGAAAGCTGTGGGGAGCACACACGGGCTGTGGGGAGCACACACGGGCTGTGGGGAGCACACACGGGCTGTGGGAGCACACACGGGCTGTGGGAGCACACGCGCGGGCTGTGGGGAGCACACACGGGCTGTGGGGAGCACGCACGGGCTGTGGGGAGCACGCACGGGATGTGGGAGCACACACGGGCTGTGGGGAGCACACACGGGCTGTGGGGAGCACACACGGGCTGTGGGAGCACACACGGGCTGTGGGGAGCACACACGGGCTGTGGGGAGCACACACGGGCTGTGGGGAGCACACACGGGCTGTGGGGATCACACACGGGCTGTGGGAGCACACACGGGCTGTGGGAGCACGCACGGGCTGTGGGGAGCACGCACGGGCTGTGGGGAGCACGCACGGGCTGTGGGAGCACGCACGGGCTGTGGGAGCACGCACGGGCTGTGGGAGCACGCACGGGCTGTGGG